AAAACTCTACCAAAACACAATCTTAATTTTTAATTATACTTTTTCACAAATTATTGTTTGCGATTCTATTTTAGCCAGAACCTCGTGCACTGGGCGCCACTTTTTCCTAATAACTGATGCGTATTCTAATGAACTTGTTTTCAGACAAACTCAATGCAACTAGTCACATTTTTAGTCTTTTGACGTTAGGCACTCATACCTAACTAGAAAGATATTTTTAATGTGCTTCAAGTTGTTCCTAAATGTATCCTATCACAAAGCACTGTGGCCTTAGATCTTGGCAGGACCACTTGAATTTGTGTTCCATTAGGATAGAAGGCTTGAACTATTTTATCCAAAAATAAAAAATGAGGATAGAAGGCTTAAACAGAAATACTACACATCGAATTTTTAGTGGTTTGATCACTAGATTTCATAGTTAGCATTTTGATCGTAATATGGATTGACTATAAGCTTGGTGGTGCATGTCCTTGCACAGGTGAAGAAGATTGTGAGACCAGGTTGTTCACAAGAAGTGTTGAATGTGGCTGTGAGTTCCATGCCCTCACTCGCCAGGATCCTCTCAGCGATGTCTTCTAAGCCAAAACCCCGTGCCTCACTTTGAACAAGTCTGCCATGTATATATACCTGCTGTGATGAGGGAAGACATGCCTGCATCATGTATGAAGCCTATCTTCGTAGCATCTTTACTTTAATTTCTTCTTCTTTTGTATTGTCAGTTTGGGGATTTGATTTGGGGCAGGGTAGATATTTATTACTACTATATATTTACTTCTGTGAATGCCCTTATTTTTAAGAATACATGGAAATGATGCAGTTTGACCAATTACAACGGAACTATGAATATGTCTTTTTGTAAGGCTGACTACTGGCAATATGAAATTGTAATATATGTGAAGCCTTAATGGTTGGAGTAGTGAAAGTTTAAAGGGAAAATTATCATTCAGGGGGTGTTTTGAAAAAATGTTACATATTGATGATAAGGTTTATGATTTTAATTTTTAATATTTATAATCTTTACCACTTATTTGTAAATATTTTTTTTGACTACCATGTCAGTGTAATTCCCCAAGTTTAAATCAATTCAACTCCTATTCTTTTAATATTATCAATTTTACACTTAGACTATTCAATTTTGAGTCAATTTTACTCCCATCATCATCTGTTGCTGTCTATAATTAAATAGAAGTTGTTAATGTGGCACCGAAGCTTCATTTGAAATTTTATTTTACCTCCAAACTATTCTTCAAAATATCAATTAAATCTTTGAATATATATAAAAAAAATGAAAATTAAATATCTAATAATAATTTTGTCGTTCAATATTGTTTTTTAAATCTCGAAGAAAGATATTTATCTCAGATTATGTGTGGTTTAAATTTTTACCCACACGATTTGTCAACGTATTACCAGTCGAGCAGTTTTGTTCAAATTAATCTGAGAGATAAGCTATCTACAATTGCTAGGAAAGAGAGAGAGAGAGTAGGCTCAAAATTTTGGGCTTTAGGGCTGATTCAAGGTAATTTGTGACTTAAAAGCAAAAATTTTAAATGAGGTATATTTTTTAAATAATTTTTTTATAAATCTTATATTTAAAATTTATTTTTCTCGTTTTTTTAGATGAAAATTATTATTAGATATTTAAATTAAATTTTTTTATAAATATATTTAGGGGTTTAATTGATATTTTGAGAATAATTTGGGAGATAAAATAAAATTTCAATTGAAGTTTCAGTATCACGTCGTCAATTTTCATTTGATTATAGTCGGCAACTAACGACGGAGGTAAATTGATTCAAAATCAAATAGTTTGTGTAAAACTAATATTATTAAAAGAATAGGGATTAAATTGATTTTTAAATGATAATTTGGGGGTGCAAAGTGAAATTTTCTCTATAATTAATGACTTTTGAAATGTGAGATAAATGCATTTATTTGCTGTTATTTGAACACTATTGCTGTATGCTAAAGCTATGTGAAGTCACTATTTGAAATGTGAATGAATGAATTTCCCTTCTTCAAATGATATTAAGTTGTCTATGATTACTAAAAGTAAGATCTGCATTCTTTTGATTAATTTGTTTCCTCATAAAACAATCATAGGCTAAAATTGATCCGATTGTTAGGAAGGTTGATTCTGAAAGGTAGTTTAGATTTATGAATATAGCTAGTTGATTTTGGTTCAAATTTTACTATTTCTAGCTTACATAGAAAGTTGCTGATATACTCAACTTTAGGCCTAGTTTGGGAAGACTAAATAAGTGCACTTTTTGACTTTTTATGAAATATGGGTTGGGTTTGGGTTGGGTTTGAAATGATGTGGAAAGGTAGTTTAGATTTATGAATATAGCTAGTTGATTTTGGTTCAAATTTTACTATTTCTAGCTTACATAGAAAGTTGCTGATATACTCAACTTTAGTTCCAAAAGTTCATTTGAATCTTCCTTTCTTGGTGTCAAGTTTATTATGGAACTTTGCCTTGCAAAGAATTCTCCCCTTTTTCCCCCTTTTTTTTTTTTTTTTTTTTTTTTTTTTTTTTTTTTTTTTTTGTTTTATAATTCGGTATTCGGTTAATTAAACTAACTAATCAATTAATACCAATTAAAGCTGAGACAAAGTTTCGTATATATAGATTGACCCCAAAAAATTATTTGCACCTAAAAAGTTTCAAACTTGAGACTTTGGAGGGAGTACAATGTTATTTTCTCAGATTTTGTCAACATCATCAAACTTTTACCTTGTTATTGCTATATCTTGTAATTTTTCTCTAATTTCATCATTGTGATTTTTTTATTCTATCTTATGGTAGAAATTAAATCGTTTTAAAAGTAGCATATACACTACTGAGTAAGTCTATCAAAATATGATATTTTGATGCTTTATTAAAATGTGACATTAACACAATTGAAATATCACAATCTATTATAGATGTTCTTCTGAAAATTACTTCCGAGCCCTTGCCAAATCCAAATGCCAAAACTTTCTCATTATAGGTGGCTTGGTATGGTAGATGGAATTTTCTCTTCCATTGTTACTCCAATATGCAACAAACTAGCAAATTAACCCATCACATATTAATGTAAATAAAGCATAACTTTTAAATCATATTAAAAACATAAGTTATTATTATTTAACATGTAATGCATACACATGCAAACTATAAGCAGTTTAATATCAAGAACTGGTACAACTTGTTCTTTAAAAGATACATCTGCATACTACAAGCAAGTTCAATATAAAAAATAAAACAGTTTATTTTCTTAAATCTAAGGAAATCGGAATAGTTTGTTTTGACATCATTCCTTTGTCAATTTATTACTTCTTCGACAATGAAACGACGATATTGATGAACTTGGATTTCTCTGAGCATAGATGATCAGCAACATGGTTTGCGAATTTTTTGAAAACATCGTCAACTATGAATTCTCCAAAATGACTAACCACCAAAGGTTCAGTACTTATTAAATTTGCAACATTTTTACCACTCCTATCCTTGTCAAACACAAAATGTTCATCATCATTGTTGTCATTAGCATCCCAATTGCACTCGGAAACTTCCAGCCTTTCAAGATTGAACGACCCCTCCTTTTCAATTATTGCTTTTACTTCATCCTTGTGTGGATAATAAAAAGGAAAATTGAATGAATCAATAGCTTCCTTCTGAACGAGTCCCTACGACCAATGAAATAGCTGCAGTTACTTTCAAATAGTTCTACAGAAAGGCAATGAGCATCATAAATTTTAATTGGGATATACGAAGAGAAATGGATTAAACCTCAGGCACCAAGTCGAGCAGTGACTTTGTGAGCAATTCCCAGAGGATGCAACAATCTTTGTCAGTGGGATCTGCAATCCTCCTACCGAGAAACGTTAAAATTATAGGCCCGCCAACTACAATTTCCTCAGAGCGCAAACTTAGAAATGTTGAGAAGTCCATTTGAAATTGCTTTAAATATGCTTCAAAAACTGTCAGTGGACTCGTCCTTGCCATGTATATATTTCCCTTGTTCTCCAGTCTTTCAGGAACCTATCATTAATATAAAAAATAAAAATAAAAAATTACTTAACATGTCGTGTTGATTAACTAATTTTGTTGTGATGTCAACACCTCTCGCGCAATAAATAAAAATTAAAAAGTAAGATATGGTAACAATTTTATGAATGTTTTGTTTGTTTAAATTTGGAGTTCAATAGTTAATTTAGTTTGATCATAAGCTAAGTTGATAAATGTTATTTCACTTTAGGACCCTTAATTTGATTTATACTTGATTTTTGTGTGCATATGTTTGATACAAGAAAGACAACACAAACCTGAGATAGCCAGTGAACACTATAAGACGAATGAACAAAGTGCAAGCTCTTTCTTGGGAAAATCCTACAATAAAAAGAACCAGGCACCCCTGATACGAAGCAAGTCCCGTGTAACTTTTCTTCTTTCTCTGTTTTGATCTTCTTATAGAATGTTGGGAGTGATTTGAAAATGTTGTTGAAGTCATTTTGGGGAAGATCATTTAAACATATTTCAATCTCTGGTGCTTTGCAATTGTTTTGTTGCATCAAATTATGAATGATGTTAATTATTTGAGAGATGACTAAGAATGTGTTTTGTCCTGAAGAGCAACCCAAATCTGCTATTTTTAGGTGTTTTGGGAAGGCATCATTGTTGTACACTTTCTTGAGGGTGTCTTCTAGAACTGGCCTCGCCATCAATATTGCTGTTTTCTGAATAAACATATGATTAAATTGTTTAGATGCCATAATAAATAAAACGAATGAGTAAATAAAAATGATGCATTATTCTTTTTAAGTAATGTTGATTTTGGTGTACAAGGAAGAGTTGATAAACACTACAACAAATTAAGGTTTTAGATGCAAAAAATAAGAGTTGAAATATCTTAATTTCCAAAAATGTCATTATTGTATTTTTAGCGACAAAATTAGACATTTAATAATGAATTACTATTTTTTTGGGACCAAAAATTTTGTTCAAAAAGTAAATCTTTTGGCACAAAATTATTTTATCTCTAAAACTATATTTATTAGCGACATTTTCATTTGTTGCTAAGGTCATTTTTTGCAACAAAATTTTCACTTGTAGAGATGAAAGAGTTTGGTCCGTAAAACACTTATATGATGTAGTGAAAGGTGATGCAAGGGTTTGCATCATAATTTTAAATAGTACTATCTGGACATATATCGGTATTGATTGCGGTGTCATATTATGAAGAGTATCAAACGATATGCATCTAAAATCAACTGTCGCGGTCAGGAGTTTTTAAAATTAACAGTCGCAAAAAAGTGCTTTATAGCAATTGAACTCACCATATCAGGTGTGAAACCTGATACGCTTTGGGAATTGACCGATACACATGTGATTTTCATTTCAACCAATATACCAGAATGTATCGGTGTTAGAATGAAAAAACTAGATATGTATTGACCAATACGGTACATGCTGATTGATATTTAAAAGGGATACTTACCAGTTAGTCCTACTAACTAGACTTATTTATCTATAGGTTTTGATTGATAAATTTATTACTGTAAATTTATTTATAAAAACAAAAGAGATTAATAAATTTATCATTTGATAAATTTATCCTATTTATAAAACAGAGAGAGAGAGAGAGAGAGAGAGAGAGATGAAGGGTTGAGTTATTGGCATAGCTAGTTTCTCCATTGCCTGCATTCATGTGAAGAACATTTTGGACCACCATGTTTCCTTTGTTTGCCGCCCTTGCCCTTCTGATGTTTTGTTTGTTTAAATTTGGAGTTCAATAGTTAATTTAGTTTGATCATAAGCTAAGTTGATAAATGTTATTTCACTTTAGTACCCTTAATTTGATTTATACTTGATTTTTGTGTGCATATGTTTGATACCAGAAAAACAACACAAACCTGAGAGAGCCAGTGAACACTATAAGACGAATGAACAAAGTGCAAGCTCTTTCTTGGGAAAAGCCTACAATAAAAAGAACCAGGCACCCCTGATACGAAG